AATGACCAATCATATGAAAATGCAAATGCTAGAAGATGCAATGAAAACATAAGTCACGTAAAGAAAAGGTTGGGCAAATTTTGGGGTACAACAGGCGGTGACACTTCGTCGACCCGCTTGGCTTCGCGGGGCTTCTGTCGAGGAGCCTCGTTTCTCCTGGTGTACTGTTTCAGGTACCCTTCCTTAATTAGAATCTTGATTGCATCCTTAAGGTGGATGCAATCTTCTGTGACGTGTCCATGGCTCTGATAGAACCGACAGTATTTGGATTTGTCGATGTTGGACTTCGGGGGTGTCGGTTTTGGGAAACGGAAACCCCCTCTCTCAAACTCCAAATTGATACATTCAGACAAAATACGCTCACGGGGAGTTATGAGTAGCATGTACTCGGTGAACCTGCTTGCTGGCATCCTCTGCTCACGGGGTCGGTCTCATCTTCTCTTTTCCCCGCCTCTTCGAGGAGGCGCGACATCCTCATGTCGGACGCCTCTGACGCCTTCCTGATTCTGCATGTTGCGAGCTCTGTGGGCGGCCTCTATTTCCTCATACTAGATGTTTGGTTGGACCTTGAGGAGGAGAGCATTCAAGGTGCAGGGGCGTTCGATCCCGATTGCTTTGGCAAAGTCGGACCGAGGTAGTATTCCCCTCTCGATCAGGAATTTCTTCATGTCGTTTGTGGTGGATACCTGGAAAGCTTCTCGATTAAACCTTTCTATGTAATCTCAAAGAGGTTCGTTCTTCCCCTGGATGATGGCTTATAGGGCTGCCATTGTCTTTGGATGGCGCCGATAAGCTGTGAAGTGCCTGGAGAACTACCTCTTCAGTTCTCCCTAAGAGGTGATAGACTCGAGCGTGAGGCGCTTGTACCACGTCATGGCACCCTTTATCAGGGTAATGGAGAATAGCCTGCACTTGATGGCTCCCCGTACGTTCTGATAGTCGAGCATCGAGTCGATACTTTCTATGTGATCGTCCGGGCCGGTCGTGCCATCGTATGTTGCCAATGGTAGGGGTTTCTCCATTCTGATGGGCGGTGGGGTCTCCCTGATGACCCTACAAAGCGGTGAGCGTTGTTCGTCCTTGTCACTCCTGAAGGGTGATCGTGAGAGGGAGACTGATCCCTCCTTATTTCTATTCCGCCGAGGAGGACTCCTCAGTCGGGCTCTTGGCTTATTGATGCCTCTTTCAGCTTTGCTCCTCTTTTGAGCGGGGGAGCGCCGCTCCTTCCTGGGAGGTGACCGGTCGCGTTTCTGAGAGACCATTGGTTGTGGCCACTCTAAGCGAGGGCGCCGTCTGGACATCCGGGGAGAAGGGCTCTAAGAATCGTCGTGTTGCATTCTCTACGGGGGAGGAGAGGGGCTGCTGGAAACCTGGTAACAATGTCTCCTTGGGGGAGAGCGTGATGGTCGCTCCTTCTCGAGCATCCATATTCGCTCATTCGGTTGGAAGATCATCAGGTTGGTCTGGTTGATCGTCGCGAACAGAGCCACTGTGGTAGGGTCAATGTTAGGTGGCACCAGGATGGGTCGGTAGACAGTCGGGCTATCAAAGTGTCGGACGGTGTTGAAGGTTGCGTCTTCGGAGGAGGGAGAGGCGGTGTTCCCGTCCCCGTAGTCGCCCTTGTCGGTGTGAACGGTCACGTTGGGGTCGTGGACATCACTGTTGGTGAATAGAACGAATGCGGTTTTCGAAGCGTTGTTGTGGCGTGGGCTAGCCATAACCAAATGGAAGTTGAAAGTTGCTTTGGTTCTTGAGCTTCTATGCTTGGATAGAAGAAAGAACGGGGGAGCAAATGGTTCTCATAGACGGCGCCACTGGTCTTACCTGATCAGAAAGGGATTAGTAGTCTGCCACGCGTTGTGAGCTCCGGTGTTCACTAGTGTAGTTGAGGAAGAAGGGGTGTACCTGCAAGGTACTCTGATGCTTAAGTGAGTAACAGAGTTTAGAAAGAGAGCAAGTACAGAGAAAATAGGTGTAGAGAATAAGATACATGACTCTCTAGTGAAAGAGAGTACTTGTA